GAGAGAGAGAGAGAGAAAGAGAGAGAGAGAGAGAGAGAGAGAGAGAGAGAGAGAGAGAGAGAGAGAGTTATTGTTATTGATCCTTTTTAAATAACAAAATATTTGCTGAATATTAATTATTATTATTATTAATGTTATTAATACTTATTATATCAATATATTAATGCTATATTATTAATATGTCTATTTATAATTATAATCTTACAAAAATAAGATGTGTAAATCGACAATTAAAAATATTTCGTATTTAGTTTCAAATATGTCATCTCTCATCGCCTGATTGTTTTTTAGAATCCTTTAATGACTCAAACCTGTTTAAAGACAGAATTATTTTAAGACAATGGAGACTGATTGTACTGTACTGTAAAATGTTATCATCGTTACAACATAATTTTTGTTTCCATCCTTATTTCTGTACTTTCTATACCCTAAATTCGCAGTGTTTCAGATGAACTGATCAGTGATTAAATTCAAAGTGCAAAAATGTGCACTGAAATTATCATTGCAGGTTGTGACTGGTTTTCCTTAACAATTTAAATCAGCAGCTACATGTAAAGTTTTCCATTTTAGTGCTTTAAAATATTTTAAAATTTTCGATTAGGATAGACTGTATTGTTATTTTCGTATATTTTGCAAACATACAATCTCATCTCAGTTTATGTGAAAGAATAATAAGAATAAACTATAATCTATTTTTGAACGTTTTGACGTTAAATCAAGGCCTATAGTAAGTATGACTTTGTTGACATCTAATTAGAGCCCCAGTCGGTTAAAACTGTTGCGCCCCTGCATCTAAATATACAGGCCTGAAAACAAAACAAATGCAGCCAAATCATGTTTAAAATGCATTCAACAATCCAATTCTTACTGAAAAAATGTTGCTGTTTAAAAGAAAGGCTCCATTAGTCAATATTATTTCAAACTAAAACTGGAACGCGTGATAATAGTTTTTCTCTCTCTCGGCTGCAACAACGTCTAATTAGCGGTGGAATCTCCTCCGCTCAGTCTTTCATTTACACCTCACAGAAAACTCATAAACACACACTCAGTGAAAAGAAAACAGTTTACACCTTCACAGTGGTGGAGCGCGGACTACTAAGCATGAAATACGGGGACATTTATGTTGCACTTATTAGGATGTTGTGTGTGTGTGTGTGTGTGTGTGTGTGTGTGTGTCCTCACCCTGTATAATCACAGTAGAGCCCATTGGTAACGTCGGGGCCCTGTGCGTATGAGCGCGCGCGCTTCTGTTAGTCCAGAACATCTTGAAATGATCACGATCTAAGAGTGCTGGTAGAGGATCTGGTGTGGGATGGAGGGGGTGCATTGTGCTGAACATACTACCGTAACCTGAGCTGCCATCGGCCCATGAACTGTTCAGGACAGTACAGAAAGTTTTAGGCACAAATTTGTTAAAATATTAGAATTCATTTGTTCACAACATGGCTAGTATTAGTACTAAATACCTAAATGGGTCACAATTAACATTACACTGTGCAATAAAAGCAATTAATAGATAAACCTTATATTATTTTGTGATTAATTTAGCTGTTTGCAAAGTGTGACGTTACAAAAATAATACCTACATAAGATGCAATTGGCTTTATGTACATTTGAGTTTTCAGCAGATGCTCAGATATACAGATTATTTACAATTCTGATTCTGGTAGAATATGTAGATTAAGTAGATTATTCTAAAATGCAGCTAATATCTGCTAGCTGAGTAAACCATGTTTGTTCAATGGCATTAATAAACCATTAAGGAAAAGGAGAGGGGCGCTGACAAACGCCCCCTGACAGAACACGAATGATTGTTTTTACAGGTGTTGAGAGGACAATTAAAGATTACACAGATATTAATTAGCATTAGGGGATATTCAAGGTCCAAAATCCTCACACCGTCCTAAAATGGATAGGGAAAAATTAGGGGGAATATTTTTCCAAAAAATAAAATAACCTCAGGCGGGCCAGCTGGATTTCCCAGTGTCATGTTACGGATATCTTCAGAGATAAAGAGCTGTGACCTGGAGACTAAGAGCTCGTCAAGATCACAAGTTATTCGCTAATGGATCGGTTTAGTGTTTCAGACCCAGCTTACAAAACCACACGGACCAAATGCTCCAATGGATGGGCGTTTTCAACAAGATGAATTTATTTAAAAGTTAAAACACTAAATACACTGCTAAAATTAAGGTTATTCAGTGGATCGTTCAGCAATAAATAAATAAATTATCTTAACAACAGTTTTAGTGTTCTTGAGTTTCTTTATGATTCTTTTAGAGATTAAAGAAGTCCTTGACATTTCACTAAGGTTCTTGCTGGAAACATTTTTTTAATTTTCCAGTAAGAGGGTATAGGCCTTGGCTATATAATAGATAGATAAAAACAATTTATAACTATTAGCTATCTACAGTACATAGTACATAACTGAAATGAAGTCGAATTAATGTCGATATCATTAGATTCAACAATACAAAAGGTTATTCTCTCTCAAGCCCAATGACTTCAAGTTCAACTGGCAGAAGTAAGAGCTCATATATTTGCACATTTATGAATTATTATAGGTATTGTTGCTTGTGTAATTTATGAATTAGTCAATTGAAGTCAAAAACAATTTATTAGACAATTTCTGAAATGTGTGACTGAATTAAATAATACATATTCAGAAACGTATGTTTTTCTGCATCTCCCGTTCAGCATCTTTGACTTTTAAATCCGTCACCAAACTTTCACACAATTAACAAGCTGTGAAAATGCCAGCTAATTAGGAGCACACAGTGGTCATGATAAATTACAGAATAGGCTACCTATTAATATAGAATGTCTTTAACTTAAAGCAGTAGTACAAACTATAGACTATTTGAAGTACCTAAACTGTGATATTAAGAAAAACGAAAGACGATATAGGTTCTGCATGCAAGGTTGTAGAGGTGCTTGTGATAATTTAATAATTGATTAGTAGCCTATCAACTGCAGTTGTGTATGTGTGTGTGTGTGTGTGTTCAAGGTCTCCAGTTTCAGGCCTTGACGTCCGCCCCCGGGGAGGAAACGGAACGGATCTGTAGATGCAGTTCTGCTCTGCTGGCCGGTTTCAGAACAGACCGGGGCGAACTAATCACGGAATGACGCTGTGCTCGGTTTCTCTGTCATATATCCATAAGGACAAACCGCATCCGAATCTCACGTGTGCAACCCCGGAGGGTGACAGTGGTGCCACACAACCGGATAACAGGCGGTTATCAAAATTGGAGCTGCAGCAAGAGATAAACGTGGCACGGGGATTTTTGTCCGAGGACTCATTTGAGAGGAATACCTACAGAGCCTCGGAATAGGAGGGTATTACGTGGTGGACTGCACCGGGCCGCAATGTCAATCTTGCCCTCTTTCGGCTTTACGCAGGAGCAGGTCGCGTGCGTCTGCGAGGTGCTGCAGCAGGGTGGAAACCTGGAGAGGCTCGGACGTTTCCTTTGGTCCCTGCCAGCCTGTGACCACCTCCACAAGAACGAATCCGTGCTGAAAGCGAAGGCCTTGGTGGCCTTCCATCGGGGAAACTTCCGTGAGTTCTACAAGATCCTGGAGAGCCACCAGTTCTCCGCGCACAACCACCCGAAGCTGCAGCAGCTGTGGCTGAAGGCGCACTACGTGGAGGCGGAAAAGTTGCGGGGCCGCCCGCTAGGCGCTGTGGGCAAATACCGCGTGCGCAGGAAATTTCCTTTGCCCCGTACGATCTGGGACGGTGAGGAGACCAGTTACTGCTTTAAGGAGAAGTCGCGGGGCGTGCTGCGTGAATGGTACACGCACAACCCCTATCCATCTCCACGGGAAAAGCGGGAGCTGGCGGAGGCAACGGGACTGACCACCACACAGGTCAGCAACTGGTTTAAAAACAGGAGGCAGAGAGACCGAGCAGCTGAGACAAAAGAGAGGTGAGATATAATTAATAATAAATACATATAAAAATTATACAGGTACACAGCCTGCCGAATCAACGTTTTCAAAAAAATAACGCGCAGATTTAGCGTTGATTATTGCAGTCACTTGTAGAGAACAACAATAGCCTATTTGAGGAATTTATCGTTATATCAGAAATATTACATTATATTATTATTATATTGACACTCAAATTTAACTGTAAACACGAATCTAAACCAACATCAAGTTACACTGTCTAAATTTATCATTTGTAGCCTATATTTGTAATTTATAATTTGTAACTTAATACTTTATATATTGCCTAGCTATTTTTATTTTTATAATTCGGTTAGGATTTTAAAAGAAGACTCTTTTTGTTCTAAAGAACGAAACAAGAGCAGAAGACGAGAAAAACATTGTTCTTATTGCAGTGAGAATTTATTTAGGCCTGTATTCATTTTATTTAATTAGCCTACAGATTTTAAATGTTAAAGTTCATATAAATAGGCCTAATGGTTTACTTTGAATTATATTCTCTAAAATCGTCTATCGTAAATCTGTGATGACAGTTATCTTTTCAGTCATGTTGACATAAAGACGAGGTACACTGGTGCGTAAACAGTTGGATTTTTTTTCTTAACAAAGCAAACATCAAGCATTAGATTTTTCTTTAGCTAATGATTATTTTAAGATTAAACTATTTTGAAACCATAACACGCCTATTAAAGTCTATCACTTTCTAATTAATTCTAGGCCTGTAACATGTCAATTATATATAATATGTTACTAATGTAATATTCACCCAACAGAGAAAACAGCGAGAACAACGGCGTTGGCGGTAAGCAGAGCCAGCGGTCTCCGCTCGACGGAGTGAAGACGCTCATGTCCAGCTCGGAGGATGAGTTCTCTCCGCCGCAGAGCCCCGAGCACAACTCCGTGCTTCTACTGCAGGGGAACATGAACACTCCCGGGGCTTCCGCATACCCAATGCCCGGCCTCGGTGCACAGCACTCGGTGCATAGCATGCAAGGACATCCGCATCAGATGCAGGATTCACTGTTGGGATCTCTAACATCCAGCCTTGTGGATTTAGGATCTTAGGACGTCTCGTTCATATTTTAAGCGACAAGACTTAAAACCATAAATAACCAATATTTACAGCGTTACCGCATATTCTCATGACGCACAGGACGTTTGCTGAAATAAACTATTCTTTTGCAAGCGATTAGGAAAAGGGAGAAAACCAAAAGAGCTTCTCTGCGTTTTGGGAATTTTGAGTATACTGGACAAGTGCGTAAAATTTGTAAAACCAATGAGGCCAATATTTAAGAATATTCACAGTATTGTTGGATACATAAACCTTTAATAATTTATGATGTTTTACTCAAAGATTAATTTATAGAAATTGTTCTGTATTGGACAGTACGAATAGCAGGGATTTTTAATGAGAAAATCAGTGGCTTCAAACATCTTAAACTAAACTCTATTGATGTGGAAACTTTGTTTCGTTCTTTTTTATTTCGTTTAAATATTGCACTACATTTTATTTGTAGTTTTCAAAACAGGCTCTCCAACATTTCTTATCACACACTGTCCACATTTTAAGTCAAGTCAACGTTTTGATCATTTGTCTTTGACTTGGAAAAGCCTGTTAATCAAAATAAAGAAAATCAGGAAACTATACAATAAATAAACACAAAGGCTCAAAATAATAAAAATATGTCAACCCACGTGACACGTCCGAGCCGGAAGAGGGCATGAGCGCGTGAAAAATGAGAACGCCTGAAACATCAACAAGAAAAATTGGCGCTTTTGCAGAGGGCAGAGAGACGCCAAGAGGCGTTTAACTTTTTGACCGTTATTCAGTAAAACAAAAATGAAAAAAGGTTAAAAAAAAAAACGGGCACACTGAGTCACTTTAAGCCTTGTAACATTAAGTTTGATAAACATTTATTAGTTCATTACGCTGTCGGACTTAACAAAAATTAGAGAGAATGGAGACAGAGGGAGAAAGGGGGAGTATTGCTCATTTTGTGTTTGTTCTGTCAGTTCTGGGCCACTGAAAATTGACACGATTCGCAAGAGCGGCTCTAAAGACCCTCCACCCAAAACGCCTCGTTCACCAAAAACCACTTCAAAACATTGTCAACCCCATTTGAAACAATCGTGAACTTTTGTTTCTTTCTTAGTAACAACTCCAGACACGGACAACAACTGAAATTTCAAACAAATGGAAAAACTGAAGATTAAAAATCGAATTTGTCGCACATTTGTTGACATTTTTAAGAGAGAGCAATTAAATAGACAGTATATTTCCAGCTCCGCATATGAAAACCAACATTTCTGGAACATTCTGCAGTGTGAAATTCGCCTCTTTCTGTCTCTTTTACGTCGATAGTCTCGTGTCAGTGTAAATTGTTTTGAACAGAGAGCGCAGAGGGTTTCCTGGCCCTAATTAGAACCATTCTCTGGGTTTAGAGGGGCTTGATTGCAGGAATGAGAGGGACACCCTTCCAGCCTCAAGCCACAGGGTGCTGCACAACAGAAATGTACCTCCAGGGCAATCTATCTATCTATCTATCTATCTATCTATCTATCTATCTATCCAGAATTGAAAAGCATATCCAATATTCATTGTCTCTTTTAACAATACATAAACCATAAACACAGGCATTTTTTTTTCTAAATATCTTTAAAATTGGGAATAAATATCATATCGTGCCTGACTTAAACTGAGGAACCCAGAATTCTTCCACCAATAAGGCCAATGCTGGGCATGAATGTCAGCTGTGGTTTTAATCAACAGTCTAATTATATTTTGTACATATAAACAGTCCTTACATCTGCTGCTATCCTCATATTGGTAGTTTATACAAAGCCAGAAATTGAGAAATCCAAATAGAAAAAGGTTTCTTTTGATTTTTGTGTTGGTGATGTGGCCAATTCTGTTTTCTCAACCAGTTGGTGGACATAGTTTGGTAACAGAGTAAACGTTTAAAAAGGCTTTGAATCAGACTTTCATTTTTCATGATAATCAAACCCCAAACAAAGTGTCATTATTAAATGTCTTTTTGTTTACGTTTTCACACTGAAGTTTCTTTATCACATTGAAGGGAAAACTTCAAGCATCCTTACACTATTACACAATAAATCTCAAACGATTGGTTGATGTCAATATCTTAAATGTTAGAATTTTTAAAAAGTTACATTTTTAAATTAGAAATTACAAAAAAAATTCTGTTTATTGAATCAGACTTTCATTTTTCATGATAATCAAACCCCAAACAAAGTGTCATTATTAAATGTCTTTTTGTTTACGTTTTCACACTGAAGTTTCTTTATCACATTGAAGGGAAAACATAAGCTAAAAGCATCCTTACACTATTACACAATAAATCTCAAACGATTGGTTGATGTCAATATCTTAAATGTTAGAATTTTTAAAAAGTTAAATTTTTAAATTAGAAATTAAAAAAAAAATTCTGTTTATTTATGCCATGTACGGTAAAATAAATAAATAAATATGGGACTACATAGAGTATTGATTAGATTCTGATGTCAGAAGTTCTGCTTCCATTCTCTGGCACAGACAAAATGCTGTGAAATACTTCTGGTTTGCCACCTGTACAATGTGACAGTCAATCTCACACACACACACTATAGGATCTGTCAGATAGCTTCACCTGCACAGGTAGTCACTCATCCAGAACT